GACACAGTGCCTTTAAAGGCACAGTGCCTTTAAAGGCACAGTGTGTGCCTTAAAGTATCTGATATTTTTGTACTTAAGTATTAAAAGTAAAAGTATTGATTTAAAATGAGCAGATAGATTTTCTGTAATGACATTTATTAGGAGGTGACCTCCCCCAAAAAATGCAGAAATGACTATGTCATATTCAAATAATTAATTTATGTTAAATTTAGGATGCACTAGTCTAGCTGTTTCATTTAATAAACATATATCAAAGCTGCCCAAACATTTTCCCCAAAAAAATCTATCTGAGGGCTGCGGCAAAATGCAATAATAGAATTCATTAAATATAAATACTCCTTAAGTACAGTCCTTTTATTTCAATGATTATGTCCTGCTGGAATGTGACATGATTTGTTTGTGTACAAACTAATATGGTATCAGAATTTTATATATTTATACTTCTCATTCAAGCACAATTAATTTCACTTTAGGAGGCACAATTTACATGGATAGTATTTGTTTTTTACAATAAGCAGTTGGGATGAAAACAAGCAAAAATGAAGTAAAAGTAACAACTTTCTACTTTTTGCTTTTTTTAAATGTAAGGAGTAGAAAGTACAGATAATTGTGTGAAAATGTAAATAGAAGTAAAAAGTAGGCTGAAAAGTAATTACTCAAGTAAAGTACAAATACCTCAAAATTTTACTTAAGTACAGTAACAAAGTATTTGTACTTAGTTACTTTACAACTCTGGATGAAGCGTGATTTGTCYTCCTAATCAGGATAACTCATTGATATTATATATTTAGATTGTTCTAATGAGGCTTCTTTTTTTACGTATTTTTAAAAAAAGGAAAGTTCAAACAATTTTTGGATTTTAAGATTTACCAGCTAGCTTGCAGAGAATAGGACAAAAATTCAATTTTCTGCCCAAATCACATTTTGTTTGTTGTTATTACTTTATTATTATTACTGCTCAAAAAAACGGCTTCAAAAAATCTTTAATATGATATCTCCCATATTTCAGTTAAACTACCCAAAGATATGTTATTTTTTATAGCTGCCTATTTCTTAACATACCACTTTGTGACTTGACCCTCATCTCAATGTGAAGGGTCACATTTTTGCTAATATTTTCAGACAAGTATGTCGTTATTGAAAACGAGTTGTTTAATAATCTTAAAAGAGAAAAACAGACTCATGTTTGACTCTATGACTGATGTCACAGATGATTACTGAAAATTATTTGATCGAACGTCACTTAAAAAGACTCGACTATCACTTTTTTTAAAATGTGTTTCATTTCAACGACCTTTTTTTTTTGTTTTTGTTTTAGGTAATGATGCAGAACCGTGTGCAGAGATCCACATTCAGAGCACAGTGGTGCCTCTGGGATCACCTGTCTCTGCCRCCTGTGTCATCAGAAAGCACTGCCCTCTGGTCACTGGACAAGCTGTTCAGATTGAGTGGCGYCTTGGCTCTTGCGTCGTTCCAGGCAGCCCCGTGGCGAACGAGAGCGACTGGGTTTCCAGGATGGTTATTTCCAGCTTCAATCACACCGAGGTGGTCCTCACCTGCTGCATCAAGGCCACCTCTCAGATTGTAGCGGGAAAGGAGATCCGAGCTGGACGTGAGGAACAWTTTTTTTTTCACAAGTTTTACATGTTGTACTCTCGGTTAATACCACACCCAGTTTTAGCTCAATATCTGTAAAACTGAGTGTGTTCTTGGCATTTTTATGCTTGCTAGGGTTGCTCAGCTGTGCTAGTCATGTTGAATTAAGAACTCCAGAAAGTTAATCAGTTGCAGATGTTCATTCAGACAGTTTCATTGAAATTCATTATCTGCTTCTTCAGATAGTTTGCTAACAGACAAAAGAACACACATACACACACACACACACAGAGAGAGAGAGAGAGAGAGAGAGAGAGAGAGAGAGAGAGAGAGAGAGAGAGAGAGAGA